CGGGCGGGGATACCCCCGCGGCGCGGGGCGCGGCCCGGAGCGACCTCGGTCCATACCCCCTCGCCCCGCGCTGCGCCCGCCCCGGCCCAGGAGAGCGGGGCCGCGGGAGCAATGCGGGGCGCCGCGCGACCCGCGGGCCTAGCGCGCCCGTTCCGCCTCTGCGGAACCAGGGGAGGGCCCGGCCCGAGCTGGGCGCCGTCCATCGGGAGGTATGGGGGGCATCCCTCAGCTGGGCGGGCGGGAGTTCAGGAGCCCCCTCCCCTGGAGGCGATCCGGGCCCCCGCCCCGCCAGGAACCCAGGAAGGGCCCCAGGTATTGTTCTCCCCACTCTCCAGCCTGGGGTCGGGAGTTCAGGAGGCTCTTCCTCAAAAGGGGCATCCAGGGGTTCCCTCTGACCCCCAGGATCCCAGGTCTTGTTCCCCTCACTATCCAGTCTTGGAGTCTAGAGTCATGGAAGCCCCTTACCCATGAGGTGATCCAGGCATCCACCTTCCCCCCAGAAATTCAGGAAGGACCCCAGTTATTTCTCCTCCTGGCTTCCAGCTCAGAGATGGAAATTCAGGAGCCAATTTAAGGGACCCTCTGTCCCCCAACCCCTGGGAAATCCAGTAGGGGAGCCAACATCACCCCACCACCCTTCAAAGTGGGATCTGGGTTGAGGAGGTGATCTAGGAACTCAGCCCTCTCTGTTTGCATCCCCCTACCCGGCTCTGGGGTTGTGGCTCAGGATGTCCCCCTCCCCAGAAGGAAAGCCAGAAGTCCCCCTGCCTCCCAGGAACAGATCTGTTGTTTGCCCCCCAACCCCCTGCCAGTGTCTAGCCAGGGGGTGAGTAGCTCTAGACATCACCCCACTACAGGGAATTCTCCGCCTGCTCCCCAGAAGGGATCCCAGCTATTGTTTGTCCATCCCCCTCCCTACCACCAGCCATGGAGCTGGAATTCAGGATCTAGAATTCTCCCACAAAGGTACCAAAGTCTCCTGACACCCATCCCCATCTACCTCAGCCATGGGGTCAATCATCCAGGAATACTCTCTTCCTAGGAGATGGCCCAGGTGTCCCCCCAGTAACCCAAGAGAAGCCAGAGGTACTTTTTGCCGACCTTCCAGTTCGGAGTCAGAATTCAGACTCTTCTATCTAATTGGGCAAACATGTATATGGACACCTGTCCTTACCCTCCTGGCTAATGAGTCCATGGGTCTCCCTGCTTCCTCCAGAGGTCCCACGTATTACATCATCATCCTCACTCTAGTTGTAGAACTCAGCGGTCAGCGTCTTCCATCTAAGACAGAACCCAGGTGTTTGGACACTTAGTCCTATCGCAGAACTGTGAGGCTCGGGATTCAGGTTGTCTCCTCCCTGGGAAGCGAGCCAAGGTCTCCCTCCCTCCCCCAGTCACCCAGGAGGAGGACCAGATGTTGTTTGCCCCCTCCCCCCCAGATCGAGGCTTCAGAGGTCAGGATGTTTCCACTCTAGGAAGTGAGCCAGAGGTCACCCTCCCTACCAGGGACCCCCAAATATGTCACCCTCAACCATGGGATTCAGGCCATGTACTTAGTGACAAGCACAGGATCCCAGATACCCACGCTCTTCCCATGAAAGGGCCATGGTCCAGGGGACAGGCATCCAGGACTCTCTCTCCTCCACAGGACCCAAGCTTCCCAGGAGAGGAGGAACCCAGGATGGAGAGAGGGGCAGAGCCATGGAGCTGGGTACTGGGGACCTCTAGTGCTGGGTCCCATGACTTCCATCCAGGTGTGGGGCTGAGTAAGGAGGGGCCCCTCATGTCCCATTAGGGTCCCTCTTCTCCCTGCCCTGGTAGGGGCAAATGGAAAGTCTCCCTCAGTACAAGACAAGAGAAGAAATCATGTGTGTGTCCTGGAGTGGGATCTGGGGCGTGGCCTGGTCCCCTCTCCCTTCCCTGCCCAGGCTCCAAAAGAACCCCTATTCCGCGAACCTACCTCCACCCACCCTCTGTCCTCATCCTGCAGACCCTGCTCCCGAAGCGGCTGGCACTTCCACACCAGGGATGCGGCGCTCCGTCCTGGTCAGGAACCCAGGCCACAAAGGACTGAGGCCCTCTTACGAAGAGCTTGACTCCGACTCAGAAGACCTAGACCCCAACCCAGAAGAGCTAGACCCAGTTTCTGAAAAGCCAGAGCCTGACCCGGAAGACCTCAACACTGTCTCTGAAGATGTGGACCCCAGCTATGAAGATCTGGAGCCTGTCTCCGAGGATCTGGACCCGGATGTGGAAGCTCCGAGCTCCATCTCGGGGACCCGTGACTTGGATCCCCAAGATCTTGACCCCATGTCTTCAAGTTTTGACGACCCAGACGTCATCGGCCCGTTCCCCTGGTTCTTGACCCTGACAGCGACACCCTCAGTCCGGCTGCTGCTCCAGACCTGGATCCCCTCTCGTCCGACCTCACTGCCACCCCCGAGGTCCTGGCCACCAGCCCAGCGGTGCTCCCCGCACCTGCCAGCCCTCCCCGGCCCTTCTCCTGCCCCGATTGCGGGCGAGCCTTCCGCCGCAGCTCCTGAGTCGGAGA